GGGTGCGTGGCCTGTTTCCTTTCATTCAGGGAATGCAATGCTTTCTGTCACATTTCCCTTGGTGGTGTTTCAATGCGAGCCATAATTATACATCAGTTTAAAGAGAACGAACGTGTTTGGCATGACAAAATAGAATTACAGTAATGTTATTGTTGCTTTATTGGTTATTTTAGGATAGGCCCATACACAATAAGTCAGAATAGGCCTGGCTTTTTTCTATTTGTATGATTTATTTTTGAAAGTAGACTTCTGTAATAATTCTGAATGTAAATAAATTTGCAAAACTGTTCATTTACAAATTTAAAAAAAAGAAAGAAAATATTTTCTTCCTGCAAAAGTAACAATGGCCACCACTTCTAATTCTAAAATATTAGTTTATGTCATCATTACACAAACACAAAACACCATGACACTTAATACTGTAAACATTCATCAAACATGACGATTTATATGTATGCATATGACTGATATGTATAATTAATTCATTCAATTTTCTTCGGCTTAGTTCCTTTATTCATCAGGGGTCACCACAGCGGAATGAACCGCCAACTTATCCAACATATGTTTTACACAGTGGATGACCTTCCAGCTGCAACCCAGTACTGGAAAACATCCATACACACTCATTCACACTACGGCCAATTTATTTTATTCAATTCACCTTCAGCACATGTTTTTGGACTGTGGGGGAAACCAGAGCATCTGGAGAAAACCCACGCAAACATGGGGAGAACATGCAAACTCCACACAGAAATGCCAACTGACCCAGCTGGGACTCGAACCAGCAACTTTATTGTTGTAAGGCGACAGTGCTAACCACTGAGCCACTGTGTCGCTGTATGTAAAATTAATAAGAATAATAATTATTTAAAGGAAATTTACCATCAAGTGTAAAGTTAAGTATGCCAGTTTACAATTTTTAAATGGTAACTATATTTTATTGTAAAATTGCAGGACTTTTTTAATTCTTGTACATTTCTTTTGTATAATAGAATTACTGTTAACCAAATTCGGTGCATTTGCATAGATTTAAATTACAATACTTTTTCACAGTCTAATGAATTGTCATCATTTTATTTGTTTTTAAAAACTGGGAGGTCATGTTTTTTCATAGAAAATTGGCTTATGGTATATACACACTGATAGTATGCCAATGATTTAAATGAATTAGATAAAAAAAAAAAACATAAAAAAACAATAGCAATAAAAAAGCACACCGCAAAGCTGTAAAGAATTATTACTGAACGTTTAAAATTTCATGACAGACTAAAAAGTGCTGTTATTTTCTCTTTAAAAAAAAAAAAAAAACATTTACTCTCTGTCGTTTTGAGTTGACTCCTAAAATTAAATCTCTACATTATTATTTTCATTTGATATATTTTCTGAATATATGTTCAACTCGTTTTACTAACGAATTTGCTTTATATTTAAGCCACTAACCACATCACACGTGCTGCTTTTGGGATATAACTTTCTTTAATGGCTTTACAAGTTTTTAATAAAAGTACTATTATTTGAATCATGCTGTACTCCAAATTCAACTTTTTTTTTTTCTTTTTGCCAGCACTATCGCCCAGCAGTATGTGAGAAAATGTAACTAGTTCTCAATAACTTTAAAAATAAGTGTTCTCTGTGCTTCCAAAAATGTACTCCTTATATAAGGTTTTGTGTTATTTGAATGCAAGTGTAACCCATACATTAGCCAACCATTGGTCATACCCATATTATATGAATGCTTAGAAGGAAATATATCTTAGTAAGTATTGTCTGACCATCACTAATCTAGAAAACATAACTCTTACAAAAGTCTTAAATCTGAAACCCATCACCGTCTCATATATAATTTAACTCATCCATGTTATGTGTAAAAACTAGTGTAAGCCAAGAAAACTATATTGTAATCAATAATATCATATAGAAACATATTATGTATCATATCATATATCTTTATCAAATTTTGAACAATAATACATACAAAAATGCAGGTTATAGTCTAATGCTTCGAATTACTTTTTTGAAAATAAAATTGCTAAAAATTGTTGATGTAATTTTATATATTTAGTGTAAGTAATGTAAACAACTAATTTTGATCTGAGCTTATTAAAATATGTAAATAATTATACATTATTCAATTGTATGATATTTTAAGTGATTAAAAGCATCTTGCTGACAAATGGGTAAAACCTAGTGGTTAGAGGTAAAAATGTTAAATCACTATTAATATGTTGTGGTCTAATATGGAGTCTTCAGATGTCATCAAATCAAAATGAGGCTGACAAGATTTTTGGGTATTTAAACTATTCTTAAACTGAATTATATTTTAGTGGGCGTCTGCTTTAAATCAGTTTATAAATGTTTGAAAATAATAATAATAATAATAATAATAATAATAATAATAAAACAACACAGTTTTAATTAGGTTTTTCTTGTTTTAATTCCTGAAACCTCGTTTTAAATCTTTGACTTAAGGATTTATCTATATTTTAGACCTATTACTTTGCATTGTAATATATCTCTGTGGAAGCTCAAAAAATCTAAATAAAATAATTTAAAAGTGCTTTGCCATCAGGTGACAGAATACATCAACACTGTAAGTGTATATATATATTCAACATAATGTTTTTTTTTTTCTAACTTACAATATCCACTCTGAGCTAAACATCAGCAAGTGGGGGACTGAACCACTGTGGTCTTAACCCACCTAGTGGCTCCTCGCTGCAGTTACAAGGCTGAGCTGAATCAATTCACCCCTCACAGACCTTTCAAAGGTCACGTCATTAATGGTGCTAAATAAACCCTGCACTGAATAAGGCTCTGCCGAGAACTGGCGTAAATGGCACACAAAGCCTCTAAAGAGGAGAGAAGAGAGGTAAACCACAATGGAAACGCACTGAATGTAATTCTTCCGGAAATATGGGAAGGTTTAGTGTGACTACCTAGAACAAAGAGCACAAGCGCTTTTTGTTGTGTATGTTATCCCCAACACCAACCCACCCCCCAGCCCCCCCCCCCCCTTTTTTTTTTTTTGGATTGTGATTTTCATTCCTTTTTTTCCTGCCCTGCATTTTTCCTCTGTGCCCGCATTTGATGTGAAAGGATTTGGCACTAAGTCACAAGAGAGGGAAAAGGAGGGGGGATAAGGATGAAAAAGGAGGGAAAATCATGAAAAGTGGATCAAAAAAGTAAATGAAAAATAATGTCATATTACGGAAAATATGAGAGGCTAATTTGCGCCGACTTTTTGCTAATTTTGTTCTTGCCACAGAAAGAAGTGCTGTCACCTGCTCTGCGCTACACTGATGACAGTGCCAGTGATCCATGAAATAAGCTGCCGCCGGCTTTGTTCTGATAAGAATGAACAAATCTGCACAATGTACTGCGCTCCGAATCTCATTTTCATACTTGCATGCAGGCTAAAAGAAATAAGCTGTTTGCAAGGCTTGATTAATCAGACATTTGAGAGCTTTTTTTTTTTTTTCCTTTTTGTCTCTTTGATCTGCTGTGTCTCCTAGGTAACTTGCTTGACATTAATGTTGAGACAATATTGGGTTGTAGACTGGACTGATTAAAATAAAAATAATAAGAAGAAAAAATTTAATGCTTTGAATAAAGTAATGTGTGTAAAACAAACAAACAAACATTTGGGGAGAGAGTGAACGGGGGCTTTATTTTAGTAGCACAGGCTAATGAATCCTAAGATTTGCCATCATCTTGTTTTGTTGTCTGGGTTGCAGCAGACATTATTATTTATTTATTTTTTGTCTAGCTTTAGCCCCTATACTTAAATGCCCATCTCCCAAAAAAAAAAAAAAACACCCTGGTGTGAATTATCTGCAAACAGATCTGCGCTTAACACGAGCATGATCGCCCATTATAACTTCCCTCTCTGCGCTGTCTTGCTAGAAAACATGATTTATGGCTCTTAAAACCTCGAAAAAAAATGGCAAGGATTTAAAAAAACTGTCATAGTGTGTTAGCTTCAGGTTATGCAGACGCCTTTACAAATCTTCCAAGTGCCTGTATAGATGAATGCCTCGAGGGCCCAGCCGGAACCCCGCTCTCTCAGCCTGCTAAAGGCCTTATCTTAAATCCAAGCAAAGTACCATTAATCTTTTTGAAAGACCTTTATGGCTTTTAATGTATCCCAAATTAGAACATTTTACACCCTTGGTTCCTGAAATATGGCGATAAAAAGCCTTTAGAGTTTAATTTCTCCTTCCTGCTCGCTCTGACCTGCCTAATCCCAGCATGCATTAGGAGATATTTTAGTTTCAGTCTTTCTAATAAAGTTTATCCCACTTAATTATAATTGAAACATTTTTTTTCCACTCTCTTGCTCTCTCCAGGTTTTTTCAAGCCTACAAATGGTGGCACATTTCCTCATTACCAATTGAGTTTTGTGTGTGTGTGTGTGTGTGTGTGTGTTCTTCCACTGTTCTAAAGAATTACCCTCATATCCCCTCCCCTAAAAATAGAAAAAATGCGACGAGAGAAAGGCGGAAAAGGGTTTGCGATTTGTTCCAAGTGTTTATCAAAGTTTCTTGCGGTCCAATAATAAACCCATCCCAGGAGTGATGAAAGAAGCCTGGACTCTTCCTTTGTTTTCAGAGTCCTCTGTGTCATTCTGGCTAGTGGAATTAATCTAGCCACACCACACACATTTTCATTGCCGACATGTGCCTCTCGCCCTCCTCCATTCATTTCGCCATCCTAAGTGCGTGCACTGCAATTTTCAGAATTAAAGGTCCTCTTTAGATGAACAGATTAAGTATATGAGATAATAACATTAATTATGCACATCCATGCTGAGTGGAGGAACCGAGGGCTGGGTGTCCTAATTCTATCTATGAACTGCATATTCATTTTCTGAAATTTGAGCATAAGTGCGGGACGCGGCGTAGATACAGTATGCGTTCTTGGAGCACTATCGTTGGTGAGGTTTGCCAGGCAGACTGATTTTCTCCAGCTAATGGAGCTTGTCTCTGTCTCCTTCTCAATAGCTGGCCGTGAAAATCGCACAAGCCGCCGATTGCCGTGACTTCTCCCGCACCAAACAGGAAGCGGAGGCTTCCCGGGCAGCCCAAAAAAGGAGGAAGCAAATCGCTTGGGGGTTTGTTGTCTGTTTTTTTTTCTTCTCTCCGTCCCCTGTGCTGATACCCTGCAGTTTCATTAAGTCACTCTGCATTTCACACTTTTAAATGTCCCCTGTTTCCTGGACATGCCACTGTGTGTTAACTCATGTGTATTCACTTGAGCTTTCTAATGAGTATGCGAATGCTGCTTATCTTTTTGGTCAGTCAGTCTCTTTAGAGGGTCTCTGAATGCTTTTTGTGAAATTTAAATATTCTAGTTTTATTCTAGTTTCAGCATTTTCCTGAGGATTTTTGTGTGTGTGTGTGTGTGTGTGTGTGTGTGTGTGTGTGTATATATATATATATATATATATATATATATATATATATATATAAACGCTAACGGTTAAAGGTTTGAGGTCAGTTTTTTTTTCAGGCTTTCTTATTGTATGTAGTTTCAAATGAAATTTTTACTCCAGTCATAATTACTTTTATCACTATTACCATTAATAATAATAATAATAATAATAGTTTTCCCAGTGTGTGGTTGCGCTGGAAAGGCACCTGCTGTGTAAAACATTTGCTGTATGAGTTGGCGGTTCATTCCGCTGTGGTGACCCTTGATTTAATAAAGGGACTAAGTCAAAAAGAAAATGAATTAATAAATGAATAATAATAATAATAATAATAATAATAATAATAATAATAATAAAAATAATATTTATTGTCCCAGTGTTGGGTTGTGGCTGGAAGGGCATCCGCTGCTTAAAACATATGCTGTATAAATTGGTGGTTCATTCTGCTGTTTCAATGGCTGATTAATAATGGGACTTAACCAAATAGAAAGTGAATGAATGAATGAATAATAATAATAATACAAATAAAAAAATATAATAATAACAATAATAATTTCCCAGTGTTGGGTTTAATGTTAATAATTAATATTGAAGAAAAAAAATCTTTAAAATCAATGAAATAAATTGTTAAATGACATTATAAATAAACTACTTGAATTTTTGAGCAGTTATACTATAGTGCAATAACATTTCACATTTTTATCATTTGTTCTGTAATTTTTGATTAAATAAATGCAGCCTTGGTGATCAGGATAATCGTACTGACCCAAAACTTTTGACTGGTAGTGTGTATGAAAGTATGTGTGTGTGTATATATATATATATTTTTTTATTCAGCACTCATTTGCCACTTTTAATGCATTTTGTTTGTTTTGTTGATTTTAGGTTTGAAGCAAAGAAACGATGGGAAACCAAAAGCAATATGGGGTTCATGTGACTTTCACATTTCTGAAGAGTACAGATTGAAAATTGTCTATAGAGGTAATCTTTCCATAATGCAGTATTATTGCTTTTAGATATCTTTGTTCGTCGTTCCATATTTGGTTCTCTTTGAATCAGTATTTTGATTGTTCAGATTTGTGGGTAATTTTATATAGTGAAATAAATTCCCTAAGCATACCATTATTGTTAGCTTGGTCGTTATTGTGTGTATTTTCGTTCTTTTACTCGTAATTAAATCTGACGTGTCCAACCGCGCTCGCTATTTATTTACTGCCGTAAGTGGGTTAATCAGGAGCCGCTTTTTTTCTTCCACGGAGGTATGGAGCGAGGGAAGAGAAAGGAGAGATTAGGGGCCTAATGCAATGTACAGGATAATATGCAATAGGATTTGCCTGGGCAAAATGAAATTTGTCGGCTGTAAGGAGGTTTGAGCAGTCATAAACCAGGAGTTTAGTCGGGTTCGAGTGTAAGATGACTGTGTGAGGGAGAAAGCGAATGAGATGGAGAACGGCATGTTTGACACTGGACTCAACCCCATAGAGAGGATTCATGTGGGCAGTGCACATTTTTAGAAGCCTGCCTATTAAATAAAATATAGTTGATTGCACTTTTTAAATTGGAAATTAGCTTATTGCTGTATTGATGATGTAATATTACAGTACATGCGTTAATATCTATTCATTTCTTTAGGAATAATTCACCTACATTCTTTTAATTCTGCAATCAGTTCAAAAACAAAACACTTGGGTTGCTTGCTTCTGTCATAGATAAAAGAAGAATCTTTAAAAAATGTTCATGATGCCCTTTTCCAGAAATTGAAAGGCTACAGCAACTCTTCATTTTGCAAAGATACAAGGATCTGGTTCCCATCAACATGGTCATGGGCCAGTGTCGTCAGATTTACAGACTGTAAATTCACACTAACTCATTTTTGTTTTTTTGAAGGAAAATGACTGTACCAAATACACTATTAAAATGATCAAACATGGTAACACTGCTCTGAAGAAACAAACACGGAAGAAATGTGAATTAACAATGTGCAACAAATTCAATCAAGAGAATGTAATTTATTTGTAATGTTAAGAGATTTTTAATTAGATGCTATGATAAATTGGTGGTTAAAATATATTAAATAAAATGACAGTAAATGATAATTGACAGATTGACAAACATTAAGCTCAGTCTCTCATTATGCATTGCAGGCTCTTTCTGGTTGTAATAAGAATAATAATTGTGCACATACACTGCTGGTAAAAACATCGAATCAAAACATTTTATGTTTATGAAAGAAGTCAGTTATGCTCACAAGGCTGCATTCGTTTGATCAAACAATTTATATATTTGATTAATACAAATCCTGTAACAGCAAATGCACATTTTCAGCATCAGTATGGATCCCCTATAGGGATACCTCTGTGCGCATATACTTTATGTAATGTATAATTGATCAATTTAATGCATCCATCTTGAAAAGAATTGCTGTTTGTATTAATCGTTTTTATTAGTAATGCTGAATAATAAAGTGAAGGTTTTCAAATTGACTCCATAATCATTATCGGCCAGTGCTGCTTCCTGCAATCAGCAAAATACTGATTAGAGCATCCTTGAAAAATAGACATCTATTACATTTCATGGGTGTTTTGAGATATTATAATCAAAGATTTCTGACTATATATATCAGAAATTTCAGATTTCTGATATATATATATATATATATATATATATATATACACATACATATATATTAGAGGTGTGAACCTGGTCTCACGGTTCGGTTCGGTTACGATTATCATGCCATTCGGTTCAATTCGATATCTACCGAGAAGATTGACGATGCTTTCCATACACAGTGTTTTGGGGTGGCAATAACAAGCTGTCTGTATAAACACACATGGACACACAGCACCACACTGTCTCTTATTCACACACATACACAAACATAGACAGCACCAAACAAGCGCACACACACACACACACACACACACACACACACACACACACACACACACACACACGCGTGTGCGCTTTCTTACTCGCTCGGGAGCGATATTGTGAGACCGCCCACTCCTGTTCAAATTACACCAGAGTTACTGACCGCTCCCGCGCTTTATTCAGAAATTTATTCCCGCACTGAATGAAATCTGGCCAGGTCCTGCGACAACGCACAGGTACAGCCATGGGAATGCAGACCTATATCCAGAAGTATCGTTGTAACAGCCAAGAAGAAAAGAGAGGGAAAGAAAAATCACGCCAGCAGCCGAGAGGAAAAGTCACACCAGCAGGTGAAATGGGCCACAGTGAGAGAGAGAGAAATGGAGTTCACTTTCAGTCCCTCAATCGCAGAGAAATAGGGGCTTCTGCTAGAAGGGTCAGTGAAAGACTGTCCAGAAAACACATACAGTGAAATTGTGCACAGTTTCTGAGTTTTTAAGTAGTTGGCACCTGGAGTGTTGTAAATACCTGCGCTCGCCTCCCTCACGACAGAGCGCATATGAGGCAAACGACGTCAGTACATAATAACCAGTTATGATTATTACTGAACTGATACTGAGTTGTCCGCGTCTGCATCACTGTGCACTGAAGAAACAATTAATTTTATATATTAATTGCATTTATTTATTTATTTATTTACGCACACACACACACACACACACACATATATATATATATATATATATATATATGTGTGTGTGTGTGTGTGTGTAAATACACACACAAAGCTAGTTAATTAAGATAACTTTATCCATCTCTTGCTGTCTCGTGAGATCATTAGCGTGAATGTGGAGACGCGTTCTTTTGATTTATGCACTGTTGGCCTGAGGTAGAGACATCTGTAATTTAGGGGCTTTGACAAGCCCATTCTGACAACAGCCAACTGACAACTCCAACACGAATGTGTCAGTTCTGCCTTTAGGCGAGGGGTGTGGTTTCAGTTCTGCCAGTGAATAGAGACACCAAAAAAAATAAATCATCCATCATAAGTCAGACACTTACATCACTAGTGAATTAGTGAATGAAGTTTTAGAAGATTGCAGCTCACTGATTTTGATTATATATTTTATTTATTATAGAGAATCAGCTCCAGATGTAAATATATTGTAAGAAAGTGGTTCCTAATTCATTTTTTTAAACTCTCTGTGCTTGTTTTTCCATAACATTTATGCCAACTGTTATATAATTGCAATAACGCATTTGCACCACTGCAGGATGATCGTATATCAGCACTGGTGTGATTACCAATGGCATTGAACCATGCTCATATAAAGTGCTAGGAATGTGAAATGGCATTTATACAACAGATCAACATTATATATGGTGTATAGATAAAATACTAAAACAACCACAGAGAGTTTAAAAAAATTTTGAAAATGTTTTCAATTTATCTCAGATTTCCTGTATTTACAAATATTTATGGGCTATGGTGATGCAAAATCTAGAAAAAAACTGGCTTGTTAAACTAACCTAAAAATGTAAAAAAGAAAAAAAAAAAAAACTAACAAAGCAATACTGTGCTGAATCACTATTTTGTAGTATCTGTCATTTCAATGGCAGATAGCAGCAAAATTCATATGTAGTCAAATTATAAAATTGTTTTATTATTGTCTTTCCTGCATACACAACCACCTTTATGTGAATGTATATTCACATTCCTTTTGCTATATTTTTGTGTAGCACTAAACATTAGACTAACATCAACAGGTGTATACCTTCTGTCTGACAGAAAATATGATTATTGCAAATAGAATATGCACATTTAGAAAAGGAGAGGTTGCATATTCTGCAGTTATATAGTCACAGTTTAAATTCCACTGAGTAAAGAGGTGATTTCAGAATTCCAAAGTTTGTTACAATTTGATCTCTGTCACCAGCTGATGGGGGGACAATGTAGATAATGTGAACACTCACTTACTTGCTTTCCTTTCGACTCATCTAGTGCTTTGTCAGCAGATTGCACTGCGAAAATATGAACAATGTACTACAAACAAGCATGCAATACCAAGTACAGAAATCATCGTAATAGGATAAAGAAACATAACTTATTACTATATTTCTTCATGTGTTTGTGGAAATCATGTTGTAGCATTAATAAAATAAGGAATATATATATATATATATATATATATATATATATATATATATATATATATATATATATATATATATATATATATATATCAAGGACACATACATTTACTATTATAAATTGTTGGTTTCTCAAAAATTTATAAAAGAACAAATATTTTAGACCATCAGATCATCATAATACTATTGCAATTAAGACTATAGTAAAAATTTTTAAAATTTTAGCTTTACCACAGGCATACAAAGGATTTGAACATTTTCAAAAAAAAAAAAAAAAAAGTCTTGTCCTGATATTTATAAAAATGAAGGTAATGTGATGTGTAGAATGGTGACCCATACTCAAAATGCATTTGAGTGCACACACGCATACACATTACTGAACACACTTACCCGAAGCAGTGAGCAACCATTGCTTCAGTGACTTGTGCATGGAACTCACCTCAGTCTTGAGCGTAGAAGAGAGTTGCTGGGACTCAAACCTGTGACATTTGGATCACAAATGCAACTCTGTGATTATTAGGCCACTTTGTAATTACTGATCATTTCATCTTCTGTATCTAAACATTCTTAATCCCTCAAGCTTAATCCCTTTATTAGTCTGGGGTCGCCACAGCGGAATGAACTGCCAACTTATCCAGCACGTTTTTACGCAGTGAATGCCCTTCCAGCCGCAACCCATCTCTGGGAAACATCCACACACACACCTATTTACACTCATACACTACGGACAATTTAGCCTACCCAATTCACCTGTACCACATGTCTTTGGGGGAAACCACTGTGGGGGAAACCAAAGCACCCGGAGGAAACCCACGCGAACCGAGGGAGAACATGCAAACTCCACACAGAAACGCCAACCGACCCAGCCGAGGCTCGAACCAGTGACCTTCTTGCTGTGAGGCAACAGCACTACCTACTGCGCCACTGCGTCGCCCCTTTATCTAAACAGTCATAAATTATGTATTTAAAATTCTGTAATCAGATGCTCTGTAAAACACTACAAGATCTCTAATGAAACTTTAATTTATGCATGTTTCCGTATGTGTTCAGAACAGCACATCTCATCAGATCACCATTAGTCATCCTGGGCTTTGTGTCTTTAGGATAGCACATTTCATCACCTATGAGCTGCTAATTACACTCATTCCGTGGAAAGCTTCACACTGAACATCTCATCTGCTGAAAGACAACATCTTTCCACTCTACTGTACGTCACTGGGCTGAAAATCACACACATGTTACAGTAGGAAAGATTGGATGTATATGCGCAGGCTTGTGCAAAATATTTTTATTGTTGCATGACACAACAGCCTGAAGAATGTTTCCAGCTGTGTTCAGAGACGTAATTATTAGATATAAAACACATCACCAGTCAGTTTTTGTCTGGAAGTGGTAAGTGATGTTTAAACCAAATAAAATTGATATTATACAGTAGGCAACCGTATGTCCTACATTATTTGTTACAAATAAAACACTGCAGTTAAAATTTGCCGTATTTAGTAAACACTGAATGCATAAATCAAGAGGAGAATGATTATCATAGCATTTATTGGACATAAGAGCAAATATTATCACAACATATTCCAATTTACACTATGTATCAGGAAATCAAGTGGCATATACACTCACTGGCCATTTATGAGATACACCTGGCCAACTGCTTGTTTATGCAAATTTCTAATCAGCCATTCACCTAGCAGCAACTCAATGTATTTATGCACGTAGACATGGTCAAGACGATCTGCTGCAGTTTAAACTGAGCATCAGAATGGGGAAGAAAGGTGATTTAAAAGACTTTGAACATGCATAGTTGTTGGTGACAGATGCTGGTCTGAGTATTTCAGAATCTGCTGATCTTCTGGGATTTTCATGCATGAATAACTACTCGTTACAACCGAGGTATGCAGAAGAGCATCTCTGAATGCACAACATGTCCATCTTTATGACGGATGGGCTAGCAGCAGAAGACCGCACCAGGTGCCTCTCCTGTCAGCTAAGAACAGGAAACAGGCTACACAGTTCGCAGTTGGTCTGATGAGTCTCAATTTCTGCTGCAACATTCGGATGGTAGAGTCAGAATTTGTCATCAACAACATGAAAGCATAGATCCATCCTGCCTTGAAGCAACAGTTCAGGTTGCTGCTGGTGGTATAATTTGTTGGCACTCTTTGGGCCCATTAATACCAATTGAGCATTGGGTCAGCACCATGGCCTACCTGACTATTGTTACTCACCATGTCTATTCCTTTATGATCACTGTGTATCCATCTTCTGATTGCTACTTTCAGCAGGATAACGCATTATGTCATAAGGCATGAATCATCAGACTGGTTACTTGAACATGACAATGAGTTTACTGCTCAAATGGCCTCCACAGTCAACAGATCTCAATCCAATAGAGAACCTTTGGGATGAGGTTAAACAGAAGATTCGCGTCATGTATGTGCAGCTGCCAAAT